AAAAAAAAAAAAAAAAAAAGAATTGTGAACTGAAATTTCTCTCTCCTTGGCAAGTCAACATAATTCCAATTGAATGACTCTGGCTCAGGTGACACACGCCTGTAATCCTAGAGCCCTGGGAGGCTGAGGCAGGAGGACCTCATGAGTTGCCAGCCAGTAAGACGCTGTCTCAAATAAAGGAATGGTTTAGCAGCCCTTACCCTCCAACTCTGATCAAGGGTAGGTAAATTTTACAGCTGGGTACCTGGGGAACAAATACATATAAAAATAAAAAGCTGGGGTGGGGGGGATGGCTCAGTAGAATAAGTGCTTTCCTGGCAAGCGCAAGGGCCTGAGTTCAAATCCTGGTTCCACCATAAATAAATAAATAATAAAAATAAATAAAAATAGAAAACAAACTGGACCCTCAACATTAAGGCTAACAGTAACTGAAATAAAGGGCCAGAATTTTCAAATATATGTGTAACCATTAAGTATGTGACAATACTTTGGAAAGAAATAGAGAACAAATTATTTTTCAGTAACTATTACCAAACAACAATCTCGAAGATCTTGGAAACAACGACATCCTTGGACCTTACAGAAATATTGGCTCTCAATAAAAAGAGCTGTCCTCAATGCCTACGCATTCAGTCAACCTGCACAACCGCTGGGTGCTCTAATGAAGAGCAAGTACAAATTCACTGAGCTTGCCTTTACTCAGTGATCCCTAAGTTCTTACGCCAGAGCTACCCACGTGGCATCCTGCAAACGCTTCACAAGCCACCCAATACTTGTTCCATTCTCCATTTTAAACATTAGAAAACAGACTGGGGGCAAGAGCTCAGCAGTACTGTGCTTGCCCAGTTTGTGCTGGGCCCTGAGTTCAATCCCCAGCCTAGGAACTCAGAGCCCTTTCTCCCACCTTCCCACCTACCAACCCGCTGGTGCTGGGCGGGTGCCTTCTCAGCAGTGGCAGGCGCGCTGGGCCCACCAGTCCTCACCTGTGCCCTCCACTCTCTCTCAATCCTTGGCACCCACAGACAATGAATCACAAGCCCACCCTAGACTTCTTTCTGTTTCCTATTCTGATATTCTCGTTTCTCTTCTTCTCTCTGATTCTGATCTATAATCTATCCCCACATTACTGTCTCAGACTACAGACAAAAGACTAGTATCTATCTAAATTCACCAAATCATCTGAGAATTGTAGTACCAAACCCCAAGAAATGACTGGTTAACACTGATTTCATCCATCACCTGTCAGCCAAGCTGTCTCTGCAATGCCACTTTTCTTTAACAGTCTGTTTGCTTTATCTCTCTTCCTCAGCTCAAAGCACTGAAAGTAACAGGAGAAGCTGTGACACTTGCACGATTTGACTTTGAGCTCCTCTCCACTTCCACTTTTTGTATTAGAATACGATGTTGTATGGTGTGTTCCATACCACAGGTCTACAGCAGTCACACGACTTGGCATTACTGCCTGTGGCTTCAGGTTCACACAACCATGCAGGTATGGCTTAAAACCTACTGCTCCTAAATAAAGCTTCGGACCACTTTGCCCTGAAATAATACTACCATTTACTTCAGCATGCTTTACTTTTCATTACTCGCTCATACAGTGGCAGCTGGATCCGTCATCTGAAGACTACCTTACAATTCATTTCTTTGTAGGTGAGCCTCTCTCACCCTAGAATTTACCACCTGAGAATCATGGGATTTGCAAGTTCCCCTCCCCCAACCCCTGAAGCCCCCTCATGCTAGCTGTTAACAGTTTACTACAATATTAAAGTAATGGCATGATCTCTTTTCCTCTGATCTCAAAAAGAACTAAAACTGAACAGAAATGAAAATGAAATGGAGAGTAGGAGACGTACCGCAGATTGAAACCTCGGTTGCTCTTCCTGAAATAAGAGAGAAAAAAAAAATAGAAAATATAGAAGTTATTTTTATACATCGCATTCAATAATAAGAAAGAAAATGCCGGCGGCGGAGGAAGCGCGGGTGGGGAGTCAGCCCGACACCCCTCCCCCCCACCCCGACCGCGGGATCCGATAGCCGGGCAGGGGTCCTGAGCGCCGCCCCTCCTCCCGGGACCCGACCCCGGCTCGAAGAGGTGCGGAGCAACACTTCCTCCCCTCGGATCCAGCCCTCTCCCCGTCCTCCCTCACCCCAAGGATCCGCGAGTCCCGGAGGAGGGGATCACACACCACAGGGGCAACTCTCGAGCGCCGTCCCCTTTCCCACAATCCGGACAATGGGATCCCGGGCGCACTTCATCCCTGTGCCCGGATCCAGGGCAGGGCAGGGCGGAGCGGGAGGCCGCAGCACCCTCTCCACTGGCAGAGACGGGGGTCCCAGAGATCGTGCGTCTGCACCCCACCTCCATCCCCAGGAGGCCACCCGGCCGGGAGCCCAGAGGAGAGCGAGCCCGGGCCGCGACGCCAGCGGTCCCAGCCCTCAGGGAAGGGGAAGGAGGAGGCGGCGGCCACCCGGCGCCCTCCCGCCGCGCCCCGCTGAGCGCCCCGGCCACTGTCCCCGCCTGACAACCCGCACGGGAAGGAAGCCCCAGGACTCACGTCGCTCTCCACCTCGATGTCATCGTTATCGCTCATTTCCTACGGCCCAAGGAGCGGCCACTGCAGCGGCGGCGGGGAGGGGGAGGGGCGCAGGGGAGGGGAAGTCGGCGACAACAACAAGCCGAATGCCCCCACACACTCACACACTCACTCGCTCCCTCACTCACACACACACGCACACACACACACGCACGCACACACACACACAACACGGGCGAGAACCACCTCCTCACTGCAGCACCGGATCAACGGCGGCACGCACGCCCGGTCGCCCCCCTGCCACGTGATGGGGCCAGCCGCACAGGGGCAGCCGAGACTTGTAGTCCTCGTCCCTCTGACAGGCAGCTTGATGTCTGCCTGAAAAACTACATATCCCATAAGGCGCTGTACCCAGTCCTCCGCCCCCTGGCTTTGGGGAAATTTAGGGCGCCTGCTCAACGAGGACGGGGCGGGGCAGGCGGCGCTGTGCTTTCTGGGAGATGTAGTCCACAGACCGCGAGTTGTCAGGAGGTTTCCTCCAGAGGAGACAGAGAGGCTGTCGGGAAGACAGGACACGTGGAGGGCGCTGGGCTCCTGGAGCCGGCCGCCGGCTAGGCTCTGGGCGTTCGGCCCAGGGGACTGGGTGGAGGCTGTGTTGCGGGGAGCCGGATGCCTAAATAACGCTCTCTCTGCTTGGAGCGACTGATGTTATTTTGTCTTGATGCCTGAATGGCTAGGCTTGCGCCCTGGGGTGTAACCGCCCTCCCAGTGCAGCCGGCGGGGGGCGCGGCTCGGGGCGCCCACGCGGCCCCCGTGAGTGAGGTTGCCTGGTATCTAGCAGGTGGAGGTGGCGTCGCTGCCCGGGCAGGAAGACCGACCTTGCAGAGCGTGCCTGCGATTGTCCAGGAGTGGCCGTTCTGCCTGCTGCGTCGCGTGCTCACAGGACATCCCGTGCAGCGTATGGACATGAAAACCTCTCCTGAGTGTTGCAGCCCAGGCACTTCAGGGAGGGCCCCGGTCAGAGAACCGTAATTAGGAACTGGCAAGAAAACAACAACAACAGCAAAAAAAAAAGAAGGAAAGAAAAAGCAAGAAACTTGTGCGGAACCTAGCCAATTAAAATCATTTATATACTGAGGCATCAGTTGTGATCACATCCTTTCCACCAGTATTTGGGGAATGCCATGACCTAAGAACTGGGGTGGTCTTCGTGCAGCTTGTAGCTGTGGAAGCAAAAGCAAGACAATGCTGCTGCCATTTTAAAAGAATGCGTAAAAACCAAACGTGGGTGCGAATCCCAGCACTCTGGGAGGCTAAGGCAGGAGGACTGCAAATTCTAGGCTGGCCAGGGCAATTTTGTGATTTAGCAAGTCTCAGACTCAGGTAAAAGCAACAAAAACAAAAATTCCAACCATATTATCCCTGACTTTTGAATGTGGAAATTTGGCATTATAACACATAGAATATTTGTGGCGTATCCCTGTGTGAGGTCATAGTTGTTTTTTTGTTTTGTTTTGTCCTTTTGAGACAGGGTCTTACTATGCAGCTCAGGCTGGCCTTGAGCTCACTTTGTAACCCAGGATGGTCTTGAATTTGCAGTGATCCTCTTGCCTCAGCTTCCCAAGTGCTGGGATTATAGGCATGTGCCACCATGCCTGGCTAAGCCTATAGTTCTTGCTGAAGAGATAATTGTGTTGCAAACTTTTTCTTTTTTTTTTCTTTTTTCTTTTTTTTTTTTTTTGCAGTACCACCAATTGAACTCAGGACCTTCTGTTTGCCAGGCAAGCATTTATTCTACTGAACTATCTCCCCTTCCCTGTAAACTTCTAAAAAAAAAATCTGTTGTACCCAGGCATGGTGTCACATGCCTGTAATCTCAGCACTCAAGGAGGCTGAGACAGGAGAGTTACTGCTGTGAGTTGGAAGCGAGTATGGGCCACATAGTGAGATCCTGTCTCAAAAAACAAAACAAAATAAACAAAAGAATGAAAGAAAAAAAGCACTGTAGAGCAACACAAGCTATAAGTTAAATTCACCTCAGCTGATGAGCCAAATCATCCCAGCAGCAGAGCACTGGATAAGTTGTTTTTTCCTAAACTAAAACCTCAGTATTCAGGTTTAATTGCAGTGTTGGCACTTTGTGATAAATAAGTGGGATTGGGGTTGCAGTTTGGACACTTATCTCTAAATTTAAGGCTCACCATCACTGACTTAAGAGCTTCAAAAATGCCCTGTGACCAGCCACACCCCAGACCAGTGCAGCAGTCAGGACCTCTGAGGGAGCAGAGCAAACAGAAAGTGTTTAAAGCTTGTCAGGTGAAGCCAACATGGACCAAGACTGAGAAATACTATTCTAAAGGACGCCAAGATAGGCAAGATAGTCTCTCATTGGTATAATTTAATTTTTTTTTTTTTGTGGAACTGGGAATTGAACTCAGGCCCTTGTGCTTGCCTGGGAAGCACTTATTCCACTGAGCC